CCAGTATATATGTTATTCAGAAATAAACAAGGAGCCCTCTATAAGTCGTATCTCGGAAGTCGCTCATTACACATGGAAAGTCCTTGCAAACAAATGGCCCTCAGTCCCCCGCAGCCCTTAAGTGGACAGAGGGTGTAAATAATCTCGGGACCCAATGACTCTGCTGCTGCAGGGAGTGCAGACCCGGGCGGTGGTAGTATGTTGTCTGCACATATCGAGATGGCGAAACAAAACAGAAAGAGCAGAAGGTTTTCCGGAAGGAAGATAAGGTTGGCCACATGGAATATTGGAACAAAGACAGGAAAAAGTCATGAATTAGCAGACTGCTTGAGGAGGAACATCGACATCGCATGCATACAGGAAACACAATGGAAAGTCAGCAGAGCAAAATAGATTGGCTGGAGTTGTGCTGAGTGAGGATACGAAGATAAAGGTGGTGGAAGTCAGAAGAGTGAATGACAGACTGATGATAGACTGGTACCAGAGAGTGGGGTTGTAAACGTGGTGTGTGTGTATGCCCCACAGATGGGCTGCAGTGGGCAAGAGAAGGTTGCATTTTGGGAGAGCTTAGACAAGGAGTTTCAGAGCTTACAAGGAGATGAAGCAGTGGTGATGGGCGCAGACTTAAATGGAAGAGTGGGAAGAGGCAAGGACGGATATGAAAGGAACCATGAATGAAGCGGATATGGCAGTAGGAATGGGGGAGGGGAGGACATTCTTCGAATGGCCCAGGCAAATGATCTTGCAGTGATGAATACCTACTTCCAGAAGCAGGAGGGACATTTGATGACCTACCAGAGTGGAGAGGTGAAGAGCCAGATAGATTTTATTTTGGTGAGGAGGAAGCACCTGAAAGGAGTGGAGAACTGCAAAGTGATCCCTGGAGATTCTAGATTTGAAGCTTTCGTGACTGCAAGGATCCATACTCTTTGGTTCTATTCGGTAAAGTCACGTAGGTAAAAAATAAAGCAAAAAATCACGACGTTTTGGCCACAACACAAGCGGCCTTCATCAGGTGAAGAGACCAGATTGTCTCGAGGACAGCGTTGGAGTGAAACACAGCCAAGCTTAGACCGCGACCTTTAAGCTGTGTGAAAGTAATTAAGGTGCCTTGACAAAGGAATTAGCATAAAAATTGCATTTTAATAGGCGGACTTAGCATGATGAAAGGTAGGGAGGGGGTCGACCTGTGCAGGCTGGCGAGGGGGCACGGTAGCGTCCATATGCTGGTGGTGTGAAAAGTGGATTTTAAGAAGCTGCGAAAGTTTGGGGTACCACTACTTGAAAAATATACTGTATTATTGAAAATTAGTTTAATGTTTGGTTCGATTTAGAACATCTTTCCAATGGTTGCTTAATTTGAAACCATCTTCTCGGTTAAAATTGTGTCTGTGTTTGTAGATCTGAATTGCCTCGTGAACAAATCTCTGATAAAAACCCGTGGGTTTGCAAAGAACCTTGGTATCGGAGAAAATTATATCGTGATCACCCACAGCGTTGTAACAGTGATCAGCTACGGCAGAAGAATTCGTTCTGCCGTGTTTCAAATCTGATTTGTGCTCGCGAATTCGGTCAGAGACATGTCGCTTCATCTCCCCGATATAGCAATCACCGCAGGTACAACTCAATTTGTAAACCCCGGGGTACTGTAAGTCAGGAATGACATCCTTCATGAATGGGATCAGATCACGAATTTTGTGTACTGATTTGAACCGGACCTGGATTTTGTGTTTGTTTAGAATTTTGGAAATATTTTTAGTAACGCCTGCTATATATGGTAGTGTGATGGTTTTGACCGGAGTATCAAGTGGTTGTTTCTGTATGGAGGGAGAAACAGCTTGGCGGATGGTACAGTCAGAATATCCATTCCTTTTGAGGGCCAGGTGTACATGTTTTAATTCACTGGTCAGGTGGTGTTGGTCCGAAATGCAATGAGCCCTATGGTATAAAGTTTTGATGAGAGAATTCTTCTGAGCTGGGTGGTGGGAATCAGGCTTCAAGTAGGAATCCGTGTGGGTGGGTTTCCTGTAGACAGAATGCCCCAACGAGCCATCAGGTCTCCTCTCAAACAGAACATCCAAGAATGGTAGCCTGCTATCATTCTCCACTTCCATGGTGAATTTGATGGCGGGATGTCTGCAATTGATGTGGTGTAGGAAAAGGTTCAGAGCTGGGAGGCCATGTGGCCAAATGACGAAAGTGTCATCCACATATCTCTTCCACAGGGAAGGTCTGAGGGTGGAAGTCTGGATGGCGTCCGATTCAAATTTCTCCATGAAAACATTGGCAATCACTGGTGACAAGGGGGAACCTATGGGAGTACCCTCATTTTTCTTGTAGAAGGAACCATTCCAAGTAAAGTAGGTGTTGGTGAGGCAGTGCCTGACCAGAGTAGGTACCTCGGGGTTTAGTCCATGTTGTACCAAATTTTCAATTATATCAATGGTATCAGGTACCAGGACCTTGGTGAACAAGGAGACCACATCGAAGCTGACAAGGATGTGGTCTCCTTGCTCACCAAGGTCCCGGTACCTGATACCATGTGGTGTTTATTTATATCGAGGTGTGCTACAGGGTGCCTAGAGAGCTCATCTTGTGGTGTATAAGAAGAAGAGGTATTCCTGAGGTATATGTCCAGCTGATCCAGGATATGTATGAAGTGTATGAAATGTATGTGCGAAGCAGCTGTGGGGTGTTGGAGAGAGTTCAGGTCAAAGCGGGAGTGAAGCAATCTGCACTGAGTCCCTTCCTGTTGATCCTGGTGCTGGACACACAAACGAGAGACATTCAGAGGGAGCCCCCCTGGTGTATGCTGCTTGCAGACGACATTGTGCTATGTGGTGAAAGCAGAGGGGTAGTGGAAGATGATTTGAAGTTCTGGATGCAAAAGATTGAAGGGAATAGGTTGAGGATCCGTCGGACAAAGACTGAGTATATGGTGGCAAATTTCAGTGTATATAATGCAGAAATAGGATTGCAAATTGGAAGTGACCAGTTAATGCAGACGAACGAGTTTAAGTACCCGGATGCAACGATGTGGTGCTGATGGATCACTAGAACGAGAGATTTGAACAATAACAAGAGCCTCGACTCACTCTATAAGCTGTTACGAAATATTCTACTGAAATTCAATCTTAATTTCTCCCCCACAATTCTTATTTTTGGATATAGGGGGAACGAGGGTATCAATGATAAAGAGGGGCTGACGAACTTCATCGTGAACAACGCCAAAATGTCCATCTAATGGGCCAGAAAATGCGCAATTGAAGGAAGCGGCTTCCCCAGCCACTGCCGCATCTTCAAGGCCCTGGATTCTGCCAGAATTTGGCTGGAATTTCGGTACGCTGTCGGCGCGTTGGGCTACCGAGGGTGCTTTGTGTAATTTGACGAAAGCAGCGGATCTGGTGATGGCGTTTTTAGGGTGATTTTTTCTTGTTGGTGTCTATGAACACAGTAGCAACACAATGGGATTTATGTGACACGGGAAAACCGCGTCTAATCTTTGATTTAAAAAGGGGGCACATAAGCAAACAAAATAGACAAAAAAAACGACGATGAACGAAGCAAAGTGCCGAAAAACCGGGCATCTTTGTGTTTCTTCTGATCATAAAGGAAAAAAAAGGAGGGAGTGGAGCCAGGAAGGGAGGGAGAAGAGCCAGGCAGGGAGGGGGAGCCACGAAGGGAGAGGGAGCCAGGGAGGGAGGGGAGCCAGGGAGGGAGGTAGGGGAGCCAGGGAGGGAGGGGGGCCAGGGAGGGAGGGAGGGGAGCCAGGGAGGGAGGGGAGCCAGGGAGAGAGGGAGAAGAGCCAGGCAGGGAGGTGGAGCCACGGAGGGAGGGGAGCCAGGGAGGGAGGGGAGCCAGGGAGAGAAGGGAACCAGGGAGGGAGGGAGGGAAGCTAGCAAGGGAGGAGAGACAGGGACGGACAAAGAGCCAGGGAGGGAAGGGAGCCAGGGAGGGATGGAGGGGAGCTAGCAAGGGAGGGGAAGGATGTGAGCTAGTGAGGTGGGAGGAGCAAGGGAGGTAGGGGAGCCAGGGAGGGAGGGAGGGGGAGCCAGGGAGGGAGGGGGAGCCAGGGAGGGAGGGGGAGCCACGGAGGGAGAGGGGAGCCACGGAGGGAAGGGAGCCAGGTAGGGAGGGAAGGATGGGAGCCACGGAGGGACGGGAGCCAGGGATGGAGGGGAGCCAGGGAGGGAGGGAGAGACGGGAGTCCGGGAGGGAGGGGAGCCAGGAAGGGAGGGAAGCCAGGAAGGGAGGGGGAGCCACGGAGGGAGGGGAGCCAGGGAGGGAGGGGAGCCAGGGAGGGAGGGAAGGGAGCCAGCGAGGGAGGGGGAGCCAGGGAGGGAGGGAGAGACGGGAGCCCGGGAGGGAGGGACGGGAGCCCGGGAGGGAGGGACGGGAGCCCGGGAGGGAGGGACGGGAGCCAGGAAGGGAGGGGAAGGATGGGAGCCAAGGAGGGAGAATAAGCCAGGGAGGGAGGGGAGCCAGGGAGGGAGGGGAGCCAGGGAGGGAGGGAGGGGAGCCAGCGAGGGAGGGAGGGGAGCCAGCGAGGGAGGGGGAGCCAGGGAGGGAGGGGGGGCACGGGCGGGAGGGGGGGCCAGGGAGGGAGGGGGGAGCCACGGAGGGAGCCAGGAAGGGAGGGGGAGCCACGGAGGGAGGGGAGCCAGGGAGGGAGGGAGAGACGGGAGCCCGGGAGGGAGGGACGGGAGCCCGGGAGGGAGGGACGGGAGCCAGGGAGGGAGGGAAGGAGGGGAGCCAGGAAGGGAGGGGGAGCCACCGAGGGAGGGGAGCCAGGGAGGGAGGGGAGCCAGGGAGGGAGGGGAAGGATAGTGAGGTAGAGCAAGGGAGGGAAGGGAGCCAGGGAGGGAGGAAGAGCCAGGGAGGGAGAGGGAGTCAGGGAGGGAGAGGGAGTCAGGGAGGGAGGGGGAGTCAGGGAGGGAGGGGGAGTCAGGGAGGGAGGTAGGAGCCACGCAGGGAGGGGAGGGCCACGGAGGGAGGGGAGGGGCTCTTGTGACGCCACCGGGGAGGAACCCGGGCTCGGGGCGCGGTCGCTTCTCCTCGCCGCGGTGATACTCCCTCGTAGAAAGCAACAACAACAACAGCAGCTGCAGCAGCAGCAGCACTGCGGGTGCCGCGACCGAGCAAAAGCTTCAACCACACTGTCAAGTGCCGAGCAACTTCACCGTTTGCTGCTGCTGCTGGTCCTGCTGGTCGTGCTAGCTGCTGGTGCTGCTGGTAAACTTTCCCACTGTGACTTTGAGAGAGGAAGAGGGAGGAGGAGGGGGGCTCTGTGGAGGCGGCGGCGCTTGTCAATCCGGTTGACTTGCACGCGAAGGAGCGCAACGCGTGCCACCCAGCGAGCACGCGAGGCCTGAGACTGCGCTCACAACGCGGAGTGCGTTGCGCGGTTCAATCGGCTCACGGCCGGGCGATGGAGTCGCTCGTCATGCCGAGCACCTCGGAGCTGAGCACCCTGAGAGTCCTCGAGTCCCTGGACAGACTCCTGGGCGAAGTGGAGCTCCTGCAGGCGGAGGCAGCGAGACTCGGGCCGGCGGCAGACGGAGACGATCGCCGCCTGTCACGCGATCGGAACCGACGTGAGGCGTCTGGCCCGGCTCGAGGAGAAGGGGCACGCGGCAAGCCGCGAGCTGCTGGCCAGGGTCGCCGAGACGGGAGGGCAGGTCCGGGCTGCCCGGGCTCACCTGCTGGTCCAGGGCCACAGTTTGAGCGCCGTGGCTCAGCACGCGCGGCTGCTTGGGCAGCGCAAGGCGCCGAGGATCCTCGTGGTGAAGCTAGGCGCCAATACCCCGCCCCAGGTGAGATCTTTGACGGGGGGAGGGGGGCTCGCTGGCACTGCTTCCAGCGAGCGGCATGGCTGGCTGGCGCTGTGTGGGATGTGGGGCGGCATCGAGAACCCCGGTGCTCGGTGCGGTTTTCCTCCCATAGATTAAAAAAAAATCCTCTTTGGCCGTAGCCAAACATCGCAATGCTGAAACGTGAAACTGCAAATGTTGACCCCTTTCCCGTTTGGGATGACAGCAGCAGCAGCGTCGCCCTCTCTACTGCGAACGCTTGGTGGGGGAGGGACCCTTGAGACTCGGTGAGGCTCTCCTGGATAAACACGGGGTGGTAATGATGATAATAATAAATTATAATCAATAAAAATACCCATTACATTTAATATGAACACAGCTGGATCAGTGCGTAGAAACGCAATGGACTCAGGGGGCTGGGTAGTTTCTCAGCATTTGTCTGCTGCTATACATTTCCACGCGATGATGATGATGATAAGCCCAATCTTGATTTGAAGCTTTCGTGACTGCAGGAATCCATACTCTTTGGTTCTTTCGGTAAAATCACGTAGGTAGAAAATAAATTTACCTACGTGACTTTACCGAAAGAACCAAAGAGTTTGTGATAAGCCAACTTCGTGGAGCGATCATTTCTGATGGCCAGGTCGCTTCTGAAAAAGAGCTAAACAGCTCAGCGGGCCTTACCTGGTCAAATAACTCAATCATGCACCGTGTGTTGTCTGTCGCTCTATCTATTATTCAATCCCATCTCTCTCAGGCCCTTCTTTGTGCTACGAAGGGCCATTGCCTGAAACGTCTTTTTCTCTCCAGGCCATATTTTTCATTCACAGCGCCGATATCATCCTGGGCTTCGATCCGGGTTTTAGCCGCCTGTGACTCAGCCGAGTTCTCGGTCACGGTCCGCGAGACGAAGACAACAAAACGTCGTTGATGATTAGAAACAACAACAAACAGATCGACTTGACTGGAATGCAATCGTTTGACTCGTGGGGTGTAACTAGCGCGGTTTAACTAGCGTGGTGTAACTAGCGTGGTGTAACTAGCGTGGTTTAACTAGCGTGGTTTAACTAGTGCGGTTTAACTAGCGTGGTGTAACTATCGTGGTTTAACTAGCGTGGTTTAACTAGCGCGGTTTAACTAGCGCGGTTTATCTAGCGTGGTTTATCTAGCGCGGTTTAACTAGCGCGGTGTAACTAGTGTGGTTTAACTAGCGTGGTGTAACTAGTGTGGTTTAACTAGCGTGGTTTAACTAGCGAGGTTTAACTAGTGCGGTTTATCTAGCATGGTTTAACGAGTGTGGTTTAACTAGTGCAGTTTATCTAGCGTGGTGTAACTAGCGTGGTGTAACTAGTGTGGTTTAACTAGCACGGTTTAACTAGCGCGGTTTAACTAGCGTGGTTTGACTAGTGCGGTTTATCTAGCGCGGTTTAACTAGCGCGGTTTAACTAGCGCGGTTTAACTAGCGCGGTTTAACTAGCGTGGTTTAACTAGCGTGGTTTAACTAGCGTGGTTTAACTAGCGCGGTTTAACTAGCGCGGTTTATCTAGCGCGGTTTGACTAGCGCGGTTTGACTAGCGCGGTTTAACTAGCGCGGTTTAACTAGCGCGGTTTAACTAGCGCGGTTTAACTAGCGCGGTTTAACGAGCGCGGTTTAACGAGCGCGGTTTAACTAGCGCGGTTTAACTAGCACGGTTTAACTAGCACGGTTTAACGAGTGTGGTTTGACTTGCGTGGTTTAACTAGCGTGGTTTAACTAGCGTGGTTTAAATAGTGCGGTTTAACTATCGTGGTTTAAGTATCGTGGTTTAAATAGTGCGGTTTAACTAGCGTGGTCTAACTAGCGTGGTTTAACGAGTGTGGTTTAACGAGCGCGGTTTAACTAGCGCGGTTTAACTAGCACGGTTTAACGAGTGTGGTTTAACGAGCGCGGTTTAACTAGCACGGTGTAACTAGCGCGGTCTGACTAGCGCGGTTTAACGAGTGGTTTAACGAGCGCGGTTTAACTAGCGCAGTTTAACGAGTGTGGTTTAACGAGCGCGGTTTAACTAGCACGGTTTAACTAGCACGGTGTAACTAGCATGGTTTAACGAGCGCGGTTTAACTAGCACGGTGTAACTAGCATGGTTTAACGAGCGCGGTTTAACTAGCGCGGCGGTTTAACGAGCGCGGCGGTTATCTAGTGCGGTTTAACGAGCGCGGTTTAACTAGCACGGTGTAACTAGCGCGGTTTATCTAGCGCGGTTTAACGAGCGCGGTTTAACTAGCGCGGTTTAACGAGCGCGGTTTAACTAGCGCGGTGTACCTAGCGTGGTTTAACAAGCGCGGTTTAACGAGCGCGGCAGTTTGACTAGCGTGGTTCCTAGCACAGTGTAACTAGCGCGGTTTAACGAGCGCGGTTTAACTAGCGCAGCGGTTTAACTAGCGCAGCGGTTTAACAAGCGCGGTTAAAACAAAAAAACTAAATGTTGCGTTGCTGCTGTGTTGACAGTTGTGCTTAACCACTGAACACAACGCATTTGTCAAGAACACTGTGGCACTACCATTAGCATAGCTCCTGTTAAAGCCACTGTGTTATTTCTGAATGTGCAAGAGCTGCGAATTGCGATACATTTTAAAAGAGAAAAAACATTTTGGTCCATCAACCCACGAGGCTACTGGAGCAATGATTTCCAGCAACATTTGATTCAGCAATTGTTTAAGCCTGCAATGCAGGTACAAAGACAAAGATCCCCCCCGTATAGCCTTCACAGACTGTTGGGGTAAGTGCTGTTAGCGAGCATCATCTATGAAAGTCGGCGCCACGCCCGGCCGCCTTTGTCTCCCGAGTGGTGACATTTACACACCGCACCAGCTCCTCATTTCAGGCTGAGTCGACCTAGAGGAAGCCTAGGACCGGTTCAGATAATAGTCACTGGTGTTAGCCGTGAGCTGGAATCGAACCCGGGTCGCCTGTTTTGTAGTGGATTACACTAACCACTGCGCTAGAGTACACGCACACACGCATACATTCTGAAGACGTGCAATGTCTTACGGGCCCTGTGTACAAGTTTCCGACGGAATAAGCCGAGAAAGCGGATGAATTCGGCCTCTCAACGGTGCTTATCGCATTGACGCTGTGGAGCGTTACGTTGTTGCGAATCGCATTGGGCTTAGCTTCGACGAAATCAATCGGCGGCGCTTCGTGCGGCCGGAAAGTTCGTACCGGCCCCTTGCAGGAGAGCGGGGGGGGGGGTGCAGCGCTCTGGCCGTCAATTCCTGGGCTGAATGGAATTCCTGCGCACAGGTGCAGAGGCAGCGCCGCGCGTCTTCCTCGAGCGCCAGTGAGCTCATGGGTTTATTGCGCCCTCCCACGGGGAGGTATCCCCTTACCTGTGAGCCGACCCTTCCCTGTGAGCCATCCCCTTGCCTGTGAGCCGACCCTTCCCTGTGAGCCGCCCCCTTCCCTGTGAGCCACCCCCTTCCCTGTGAGCCACCCCCTTCCTTGTGAGCCGTCCCCTTCCCTGTGAGCCATCCCCTTCCCTGTGAGCCACCCCCTTCCCTGTGAGCCACCCCCTTCCCTGTGAGCCGTCCCCTTCCCTGTGAGCCACCCCCTTCCCTGTGAGCCACCCCCTTCCCTGTGAGCCACCCCCTTCCCTGTGAGCCACCCCCTTCCCTGTGAGCCACCCCCTTCCCTGTGAGCCACCTCCTTCCCTGTGAGCCACCTCCTTCCCTGTGAGCCACCCCCTTCCCTGTGAGCCACCCCCTTCCCTGTGAGCCATCCCCTTCCCGGCGGCGCCACGATGGCTAGGAGATGTTAACTCCCTCGCCTGGTATGCAGAAGTTCGTGGGTTTGATCCAGACCCTGATGCCTGCTGCTGTATATTCGGGAGTTTGCGTGTCTCTTTCTCTAAGTGGTCGTGTGGATTTTTCGCCGGGTCCTCCTGATTTCCCCTCCATATTTAGTCAACTTGCGTTTCGAGAATTTGTCTGCGAAACATTTCTTCGTGATAATCCACTTCGAATGTATGTTGAACTTCTTTCACACCGTACGTAGCCAACTGTGCTAATCGGAGGTACGACAAATGAGCTATCATTTGTGGCCAGGTCGCTTGTGAAAAAGAGCTATGTAGCTAAGTGGGCCTTACCTGGTGAAAACCGAATAGTTTATAGGTTAAATAGTTTTATCCTTTCCCCGTGAACCGGCTGCTCTGTTGAGATATCCTCGCCCTGTGAACCGGCCGCTGGGTGGAGGGTTCCGGTTGGCCAGAGATGCTCGCCGTTACGATCAATACGAAACAAATTCAACAAATTACGTTGCCAGTGGTGCACAATCACAATTAATAGTAATATTTTTTGAAACCTTGACATGTTCCTCAATAACAGTGTGTTTGTGTCCTTCAAAGGAAAAAAAGTAATGATAGGCGACGTTTCGGGGCAGTGGCCCTTCCGAGGCCTCGCACGTCGTGTTTTTCAAGGAATCCATTGACTTTTTCATCATAACAACAAACAGCAAGACTCTCCCTAGTGGACCAATAAACAGTGGCCCTCCGTCTCAGTGTCCCCAGAGTTCGGTGGCGAGATGTTAACTACCTCACCTCGTATACAGGAGACCGTGGGTTCGATCCCGACCCTGACGCCTGTATATTTGGAGTTTGCGTGTTCTCCCCGTGGCCGCGTGGATTTTCCTCCGGGTTCTCCGGTTTTTCCCTCCACATTTATAATCAATATCACGCGTTTAGAGGATTTGTTTTCTATGAATTCAAAAATAAGTTCATAGCTCAGTGGGCTTTACCTGGTAAAATACAAATAGTTAAGTTATAAAAAAAAATGTTATTTGCTTACCTTTCCGATACTTTGCACTCCTACCGTGTTGTTGCACTGTTTGTTGCATTAACGTTCTGACCTCGTGCACCTCCTGGATATCTGTGAAAAAAAGGGCTTCATAGCTGATCGGATTCTTCCAGTATATTCTGATTCACATCCCTAATTTTTGCTATTAAATTAATGGGAAGGAGCAATTCCGA